CCACCATTTCCTTTGACGTGGATGGAACCGGAGGGTATTATGCTGAGTGAAATAAGTCAATCAGAGAAGGACAATCATCATATGGTTTCACTCATACGGGGAATATAAGAAATAGTGAAAGGGATTATAAGGGAAAGGAAGGTATCTGAAAAATTAGAGAGGAAGACAAACCATGAGGGATTCTTAACTCTGGGAAACAAACGAAGGGTTATGGAAGGGGACCCAGTCAGGGGGTGGGGGTAACTGTGATGTGGGGCACTGAGTAGGGCACTTGATGGGATGAGCACTGGGTGTTATACTATATGTTGGTAAATTGAACTTAAATAAAAACAAATTTAAAAAATGTCAAACTATACTACAAAGCTGTAGAAATTTGTGCAGTATGGCACAACAATACACATATAGATAAAAGAAATGGAATACAAAGTCTAGAAACAACCCTGTAATTTATATGGTCAATAAGTATATAACAAAGGAGGCAATAATAGAAAATAGGGTAAAGAGTCTTCAGTAAATGGTGTATTAAAAATGGAGGACTATGTGATAGAGAATAAAACTGGACCACTGTTTACATCACACACAAAAATAAACCTAAAATAAGTTAAAGATTTAGAGATAAGGTCCCAAACCATAAATATTCTAAAGACAGGATAGGTGACAAAATCTTAGAAATAAATCTTAATATTATTCTTTTGGATATATCTCCTTCGGTAAGGGCAACAAAATGAAAAATAAATAACATCAAGCTATAAAGCTTATGCTGATCAAGAAAAGCTTCAACAAAACAAAAAAGCAGCCTAATGAATGGAACAAATTCATATAATATATAATGCAAATGATATATCGACAAGGGGTTAATATCCAATATATAAAAAGAAGTCCTACATCTCAACACCAAAAGAACAAAAACAAGAGATTTAAAAAAAATGGGCTGAGGACCTGAATAGATATCCTTTGAAAGAAGATATACAGAAGGCCAAAAGACACATGAACAGATGCTCAACATCACTGATCATTAGGAAAATGTAAATCAAAACTACAAAGAGATATCACCTCACACATGTCAGAACCAAAAAAAACAGGAAATAAAAAATATTAGACAGGATGTGGAGAAAGAAAACTTTTATGCACTGTTGGTGTTAATTTAAATTGGTGTAGTCACAATGGATAGCAATATGAAGGTTCCTCAAAAAATTAAAAATCAAAATACCATAATTTGCAGAAAATCCACTTCAGGGTATCCATTTGAAGAAAATGAAAACATTCACTTGAGGAGATATAACTACCATATGTTTATTACAGCATTACATGCAATAGCCAAGATATGGAAGCAACCCATGTGTCCAACTATAGATAAATGCATAAGTAGCAGCTACACACACACACACACACACACACACACACACACACACACACACTGGACAATTACTTGGCAATGAAAAAAGAATGAATTTTTTTTGTCATTTTGACAATATTGATAGACCTACAGGGTTTTATGCTAAATTAAATTAGACATAAAAAGAAAAATAATTCATGATTTAACTAGTAATCTGAAATCTAAAAACAAACAAACAAAAAAACAACTGAAACATACTCATATGTAAAGAAATAAAAGTTGTGATTGCCATGAGTGGGGTGGAAATTCTGAACAGTTGAAAGGAAGTATGTGGTATCTTTCAGTTATAAAATAAATAAGCCACAGGAATGTAAATCACAGCATACAGAATACAGTAGATAACGTTGGATGAATTTTTATGGTGATAAATAGTAGTGAGCTTTATCATAATGGTTGTATCAGAAGCTATATAAATTTTGATCACTATGTTTATACTACAACTATATAATATTGTTTGTCAATTGTCCATCATTAAAAATAAATACATGAAAATATAATTGTCATTCAGTTTTGCAAAAATAAAACAGAATAAAACAAAACACAGAACTACAGACCAGGCAAATACACATGTAAATTTCCTTAAAAATTATTTGCAAGTGAACTCCAATAGTGTAAAAAACAGGAAAAGATTTCCATTACTGCAAATTAAGCAATTTAGATTTAATGTTTTATTTCTTTTGATGTTCATGTGTCATTTAATTGTGTTTTAAAAGTACTTTCTCTGGCCTCTCCCAATTTTTTTTTAATTTTTATTTATTTATGATAGTCACAGAGAGAGAGAGAGAGAGGCAGAGACACAGACAGAGGGAGAAGCAGGCTCCATGCACCGGGAGCCCGACGTGGGATTCGATCCCGAGTCTCCAGGATCACGCCCTGGGCCAAAGGCAGGTGCTAAACTGCTGCGCCACCCAGGGATCCCTCAATTTTTTTAGTGAGGTGAAATTTTCAAAAATTACATTTGTTTTTCTCTCTACATAGTTAGTCTTAGGGTTTTCTTAATTTACAACAAATATTCCTATCAAAATACAAGCAACAATTATCATTGAAGGATGAATAAATAATAATATAAATAATTATTTAATATTCAAATCTCTGGTATGATGCTATTGTTCAATTTTGTTCAATTTGATTCCTTCCCACAGAAATTTAGTTGTTTTTAAGCAGAAACATAAATAACTTACAAATAATAAAAAAATTAATTGCAGGTATATTAACAAAGTCAAAAATTCAGAAGTATGGAAATTGATGTCATTGCAACAGAGATAAAATTGATTATAGCAAGTCTTCAAAATTTGTGTCAAGTATCATTAAATATCTGTCACTGGATGATGATTTTAAAATATTTTCAGTCTAATAAATGTGACATGGCAAGAGCATAAGAAAGAAGAATGTAATGCCAAGATTTAGCAACCTTGTTTAAAAGCAAAACTTAAACATCTAGGACATTTCTCACAAGGCCTAAGGCCTCCGTGTTTGTGAATCAGATGGAAGTGAGTGACAGCCTGGGTGGCCAAGTCTCTGACCTCAATATCTTGTGGAACATAACAATTTCTCAGAGGTACTTACCAAGGGACAAACTAAATGACACACTACAAGCTGAAAGTCTCAGACATTCTGAACGTGTGTGATGAGATAAAGTGTCTTCAAAATGTAAGAATTTCCTGTTCAAATTTTAAGTGACACATTGATGAGAAATCAACTTTTTCCACTATTGCCTTACTCTGGGTTCTCACAGGGCCGGCAGTCTGTGAAGACCACAGATATTGTCTGACCTCCCACTGGAAGATGCAAGATTGGCCAACAGAAGGTATGTGTCACTACTGCCCTGTCTCTCTCCTAGACACCTCATTTAGTGGGAGATACAAATGCTGGTTGGGGTGCAACTGAGGTACAATTAATATATTAAATCACAGAGAACATTGGTATCTTTATTCCAGCAATTCAGAGTAACAAACAAAAGTAAATTTGAAATACATTGGAGAACTTCTTAAAATATTCAAATTCTTGCCTGAGGAGAAGTAAATGCATATACACAGGCACAAACTGTTTGCAAATCAAGATAACTCAAATGAGATCCCATAAGCATCAAGACAAGGAACTCAGTTTGGACTTTCATTAGTTATAGATATAATCAGATATATTTTTTATATTTAGTTGAGCCTTTAAAAATTGATTCTTAAAATGAATCCATCAAATCACAATCAAATGTAACTCTTCATAAATTTGCTTAGATGAAGTGCTTTGATTTTTCATAAAAAGCAAAATGAGGCACGTTCTATGAAATGCTAATTTGAATTTAAGTATAAACAATCAAGACTTTTTAAAAAGTTGAATAAATTTTGGTAAAAGAAGTTATTTAATACTGAAAGACACATCTATCTAGTGAATTATGTTACATGGTTTAAAGGATATGAATGAGTACTGATAATGTGACTATTCTGCTATAAATAATCAAAATAAATGATGTATAACTGACAGCTTAGAAACCCAGGTGGAGTATTAAGTGTTTTATATATATTATTTTATACATATTTTAATTACCATTTTAGATTAGTAAAAACTAGATAGCTAGACAGGAAGTTATTTGTTAAAGGTCATACTTTGTAAGTTTGAGAGCTACGAGGAATTCCAGATCTCCCTGACTGGAGAGTTCATTGACTGAATTATGAAAATATATTGATTTAATTCATTGGAATTCTGTATACAATTAAACTACCCTCACAGCTTTTGACATTCATAGATGTTTCTAGAAGTTTGTACCAACAGTGTTGTTCCATCTGTTCCAAAATATCTACACTTTTGTTCCAAAAGATCTGTTCCAAAAGATCTACACTTGTATTTATCATTTCATGGTTTCATGTCTTTGCTATCAAATCAATGTCAATTTCTGGTGTTAAATAAGTACTTTAAAAAATATTTATTGTTTTTTTGTTTGCAATATGGTTCAGGTTTAAGAAGTTTACGTGTTGTGACATTTTTCAAAATATAAAATCTTTCTTTTAAAATTTAATGATTTCTCATAACTCAACTATTATTCAAAGTAAAAATTCATTGATAGCACTGCATTAGACTTTAGTAAAGAAATATAAGTCCCAAATGAAAGTCATTTGCTACAGGAAATTCCTACTTGTGCTAAAACTAGTATTCCTCAATCTTAGAGCACTCAATTTTTAACCAGTATGGATTTAAAAATTGTCCAAAAAGTTGGTATAGCATTTTTTCTGATACAGCATTTTAATTTTAATCCAGTTGTTCTACTACCATTGAAGTGTTTCTGTGCAATCTGACCTTATATTATAAGGACAATATTATTCCTGAATTGCTTTCTTCTTGACAACCTTATTGCTTTACATTTTTCAGTCAATACTGTTGTGTCAAACATAGAATGTCATTGTAGAGATACTTATTCTATCATAAAACAGTTCTTCAAAGCTGTAAGGAAATTAGTACCAGATTTTACATTGTTCAACTGCAAATGAACTCACTCACCCTACGCTCCACCCAGTGTGACTGTCCTAGCAGTCTTGTCACTACATATACTCTTCATCAAGTCCTTCAGTTCAGTTCCGCTCAGCACTGTGCCTGCCACTACTCACCTGAAGAGATGAATAACCAAGGGGTTACCTATGCAGAACTTAATATCATGAAAAACTCAAAAAGACAGCAAATGAAAGCTAAGGGCACTAAGTGTTCCACTTCAGTAACTGAGCAGGAAATAACCTATGCAGAATTAAATCTTCAAAATGCTTCTTGGGATCTTCAAGAGAATGGAAAGAACTACCACTGCAAAGGTAAAACATTCACTACACACACAGTATAATTGTTCTAGGATATACTCTTGGGGTGCAGGGGCATAGGTGAACAAGTAGGGAATGATCTATATTTTTCATTTGTGAGGATCAGAATGTGGAGTAGGACTATGGTACTATAATTGAAACGGAGGACTGTGTTCAGGAATTGTAATTTGTGGTCTTTATCACATCTCATGGGGTAATATATTTACTGCAACTTCAACAGTATATTCTGAGAGAAGATTACAATGGTCGATACAGTTTGGGGGCCATGTTCTTATATGTGACTCCTTGTGCATCATTGGTTCTCTTGTATGTAAATTTCCTAAATGATTATTTCCATCCATCCTTTTTCAGTGTTTTCATTTCTCTTCCTAATATTTACCATTATGTCCAGAGAAGCTCATTGCTGGGATCCTGGGAATCATCTGCCTTGTCTTGATGTCCACTGTGGTCACAATAGCTGGTATTCCCTGTAAGTGTTTGAATGACTACAAAGGAATTTTTCACTTTAATGATCATCATCAGTACCCATTATACCTTGAAATATTGCATAACATTATTGAATTGCATTATGTCATTTTAATGCCCATTTTAATGCCTAAGTGTGGAATGGTTATTTTGGATTTGTCACATTAGAAATAATAATGTAAAGATTATTATGAATATGTTCAGATTTCATACCTCAACAAGTTACAGAAGAGGCCTTATTGAGATATACAAATTAATTCTTGAGATTAGTTAAATCAAATACTGTAGGAAGTGGTGAGGTTTGTTCTTCAGACTTGAAATACTTTTTCCCATGTGTTCATCATTTTATTAACTTTTAACTGGTAAGATCAATTTTATTACAGAGTTTTCTCATTCTAAACAATACACTAAATTTCAAACTAAGAAACTCAAATCACATGATTTATTTAGTTTAATATTAAGTTTTAAGAGGATTGCTTTAATTTTTCTAGCTACTAAAGGACTGAAGCAAAATAAGACATATCTGGAAACAAGGAACCAGAGAGGTACAACATCATTTTCAAAATACTGTTGTTAGTATAATTTCTATTTTATCTCAATCTTAGCCTAGGAAAAGATGACAATGGATTATTTATGGAAAAATAAATTAGAAAATCATGTAATAAACAGAAATAATGATTATAGGAGGGTATTACTTTTAATGGAACAATCTGAATAAATACTCATTTAAATCTCCATATCCATTGTTACCTTAATTTCACTCCTGCAATAACATGGTAAGAAATGAATAATTTTACTATTTTTAAATAGTAATTTCATTCAGTAAACTCTCAGGTCATGTAGAAATGGATATTTTTGTGTGTTTGCTTTATATGAACATATACATTAGGGAATGCTAGACTGGCCATTCTTTGCTGAGTGTATGAGCCAATTTTGTTCTATTTATACCATCCTGTGAGCATGTATGGGTATGTTATGCACACATGTGTATACATATGCAAGTGTGTAACTTAATTTGAATTTCTTAATATTCAAACTTCTTTTGGATGATATTTTATAATCTTTCTTTAGTTTATCACTGTGGTCATTGTCCAAAAGAGTGGTTTACATATTCCAACAATTGCTATTACATTAGCACTGAAAGAAAACCATGGAATGAGAGTCTGTTGTCCTGTGCTTCTAACAACTCTAACCTGCTCTGCATAGATGATGAAGAGGACATGGTAAGATTTCAAATGTTTCCAGATTTTATTAAAAACTTAAAAGTTAATATTATATTTAATTTAATTTAATTAATAATTACATGAGGATTATTTTCCTCTAAGCATTAGTATGAAATTACATGGTCACATATATGTATATATTTCAGTATATGAAATTATCTCTATATTTCTCTAGTTTATTGTGTAAATACACGTTATACAAAATAGTCCCTTGTTCTAAAACTCAGTAGCCTCAAAAAACTTAATATAATAACTTCTGGTGATTCTATAACACCATTTTTATGGGCTGTGAATCATTAGGATATTCTCTTTTGTGAGATGAGAAGTGCTTGAATATGTCTCTTGCCCATTTCTATGAGATGGTGTCTTCTTTTCCCTTCTTAGACGTCCTTCTTCTAGGGGCGCCTGTGTGGCTCAGTTGGTTAAGTGTCTGCCTTTCTTTGGCTCAGGTCATGATCTTAGGATCCTGGGATACAGCCCCTCATTGGGCTCCCTGCTCCACAGTGAGTCTGCTTCTCCCTCTCCTACTCCCCATACTTGTGCTCTCTCTGTGTCAAATAAACAAAATCTTAAAAAAAAAAGTTCCTGTAATATTTTAGATATGAGCTCTTTTCTGAGTTTATAAGATGCAAATAGATTTTTGACTCTGTGACTTGCATTTTTACTCTGAAATTGGGGTCTTTTAATGACAAAAATTTATTACTGTTACTCTGGTCCAATTTATCATTTTGGGTTTTAGTAGTTACTTTCGACTGATTTCAGAAGTCAGTCAACAGACATGAATATAATTTCCTATGTTACTCTCCAGGATTTATCTATCTTTATTTCTTTATTTTTTAACTCTTAAATAGGGTTCATGACCTATTGGGAATTTATTTTTTGTGATGCTGTGAGACAAAATAAAAGGTTACACTTTATTACCTCATGACCTAATTTGTGGAGTATAATTTATAGCAAAGTAGATATTTTCTTCATAAATAACTTTATATATATAAACCTGCATATATGTCCATATATGATCTAATCTGCTTTATATAAATAATAAAGATACTAGATATCCTTAGATAATTATATATACATATATCAGTCTATACAGTCTATCACAACCCACAGTCTTTCACAACCCACAGCATTTTGATTTAAATATAGAGCCATACCTTCCTTTACATTCCTTTACTGTGCTCTATTTATAATTTTCCTAAATATTTCTCTACTTATATTGAGAGTCACATGGATGTTATAATTTTGCTTCAAATAGCAAACAATTTAGAAAACACAAGAGGTGAAGGAAAGAAAGTCCATTAGACCTAAGGATAGTTTTACTCTGTCTTTTGTTCCTTTTCCTGATGATCTTAGATTCCTTCCACTATCATTTAATTCCTGTTTAGATAATTCCCTTAGCAGCTCTTTCAGAGTAGGACTGGAGTGACACATTTTCTTAGTTTTCTTTATCAGAGAATGTCTTGATTTCCCCTACATTCCTAAGTGATATTTTTGCTGAATAGTCAATTGTTTTCATTTGGAATACTGCACATAGCATCTAAAAATTATCTGTCCTTCTAGCATGACTTTTTTCTGTTATTTTGACTGGAGACAAAAAAACATTTTGGGAACTTTTTCTGTACCTACAGGTGCCTTTGGGTTGCCAGCCTCTCTGGCACCAGTCTGGAACATATGAGGTAAAGAGAAATTCCAGGGTGCTCACCACCATGTCATTCTTTGCATCTGGAGTGCCCAGTTCTGTCAGCTTTCTCATCACTTGTCTAAATCTTCTCATGTTGTCATATATATACTATCCAGGGGGTTTAGCTCTATTTGATGGGAGGAATAGTGAAAAACTTATCTTCTCTATCTTTCCAGAACAGGAAGCCTGATTTGTAGTGGTCTTAATATGAATGTTCCTAAGACTGACAGTGTTGAGTATCTGTTCCCGTACTCATTAGCCATCCATTTATGTTTTTTTGATGAAGTTAACTACTAAAATATTTTGGTTATATATTTAATTTTTATTATTGTATTTTGAGAATTCTTTAGGTATCCTGGTAGCAAGGCTTTTTTTATTAGATGTATGATTTGTAAGTATTTTCTCTGAAGTCTATGACTTATCTTTCTTTTCTCTTCAAAGAGAAAATTATCCTGATGGACTACACTTGATCAGTTTGTTCTTTTATGGATTATGTTTTTAGTGTTCTAAGAAATCTTTTGTCCCTCTTTAAGTGGTGTGTTTTTTCCTAATACATCTCCTTGAAATTGTATAGTTTACATTTATGTATGAGCAATTTTTAACATTTTTATAGTATAATGTATATAAACATTAATATGATTTGATACTGAATTGTTTCAACAACCATTTGGGTTTTTTTTCCTCTTTCAAGTTTTCATTTTAGTTTTAGTTAACATACAGTACAATGTTAGTTTCAGGTATAGAATTTAGTGATTCATCACTTACATATAACACCCAGTGCCCATCCACAACATTTGTTGAAAAAGATTATACTTCTTCCACTGACTGACTTTGCATCTTTGTTGAAATCTCCATCCCATGTATATGCATATATAAATTTGTACTCTCCAATCTGTTTCATTAATCTTGTTATGTATTTTTATGTTAATTTCACACTTTAAAAACCATTAATTTTGTAAACAGTACTTTCATAACAGTTCTTTTTCAGTTATTGTATCTATTTTAGAACTTTGCCTAGATGTTCCTTGTTTGTTTCTATCTTTCTAAATTTTATTTTTAAATTAAGAATGGATATTAGTTTTTTCAATTGCCTCTGCACCAGAGAAATCACATGATTTGATCTTCTTTGCTCTGTTCATGTGATGGATTAAGATTATGGAATTTCAAATGGAAATCCATCCAACATGGTATTGCTTCAATAAATCTACTTATGTCATAGTCCTTTATTTTACATATTGTCCAAATCTATTTTTTATTGCCACTAACATGTAATTTCCTTTTTTAAAAGTATTTCCATCAAAATGCTTATAACACATATTTTTTAGCAACTTTTTTCTTCCCTACAAGGATTTCTTTTTGGTATTTGATCAGCATTACATTTTCTTCATTCATAAGCATCTAAACATTCGGTAAATGATTGTAAAAAGTATTCTGCTTTGCAGATAAAATTGTGCTAGAAGTTGTAAGACACTTCTGATATTGTTTTTTCCTTTGGTTTTGGTTTTCACAAGTTGTATTCGGTAGGATTTTTCCAATTTTATGTATAGTTTTAAATATGTTTGCATATTTTCCTTAAATTCTCTTATTTTTTTTATAAATTAATTTTTATTGGTGTTCAATTTACCAACATACAGAATAACACCCAGTGCTCATCCCGTCAAGTGTACCCCTCAGTGCCCATCACCCATTCACCCCCACCCCCCACCCTCCTCCCCCTCCACCACCCCTAGTTCATTTCCCAGAGTTAGAAGTCTTTATGTTCTGTCTCCCTTTCTGATATTTCTCACACATTTCTTCTCCCTTCCCTTATATTCCCTTTCGCTATTATTCATATTCCCCAAATGAATGAGAACATACACTGTTTGTCCTTCTCCGGTTACTGTGGCCAAGTTCAAAAAGGGTGTTGCCTGAGTTCTCCTCTGGGATTTTGATGGAATCTTGTCTCACATTTAGATCTTTCATCTATTTTGAGTTTATCTTTGTGTATGGTGCAAGAGTGGTCCAGTTTCATTCTTCTGCATGTGGATGTCCAATTTTCCCAGCACCATTTATTGAAGAGACTGTCTTTCTTCCAGTGGATCGTCTTTCCTCCTTTATCGTATATTAGTTGAGCATAAAGTTCAGGGTCCACTTCTGGGTTCTCTGTTCTGTTCCATTGATCTATATGTCTGTTTTTGTGCCAGTACCACACTGTCTTGATGAACACAGCTTTGTAGTACAACCTGAAATCTGGCATTGTGATGCCCCCAGATATGGTTTTCTTTTTTTAAAATTCCCCTGGCTGTTTCGGGTCTTTTCTGATTCCACACAAATCTTAAGATAATTTGTTCTAAATCTCTGAAGAAAGTCCATGGTATTTTGATAGGGATTGCATTATACGTGTAAATTGCCCTGGGTAACATTGACATTTTCACAATATTAATTCTGCCAATCCATGAGCATGGAATATTTTCCATCTCTTTGTGTCTTCCTCAATTTCTTTCAGAAGTGTTCTGTAGTTTTTAGGGTATATTTTGAGAACCATTTGAATGGTAAATGGTTCTCCAACCTTTTATTTTCAGGTTGTAGGTGTCCTTCTGTCTAAAATGAGTCTCTTGTAGACAGCAAATAGATGGGTCCTGTTTTTTTATCCAGTCTGAAACTCTGCGCCTTTTGATGGGGTCATTAAGTCCATTCACGTTCAGAGTTACTTGAACTTCTTCTTAAAGGGGAGTTTTAAGAGTCCCCCTTAAAATTTCTTGCAGAGCTGGTTTGGAGGTCACATATTCTTTCAGTTCCTGCCTGTCTTGGAAGCTCTTTATCTCTCCTTCCATTTTGAATGAGAGCCTTGCTGGATAAAGTATTCTTGGTTGCATGTTCTTCTCATTTAGGACCCTGAATATATCCTGCCAGCCCTTTCTGGCCTGCCACGTCTCTGTGGAGAGGTCTGCTGTTACCCTAATACTCCTCCCCATGAAAGTCAGGGACTTCTTGTCTCTTGCTGCTTTAAGGATCTTCTCTTTATCTTTGGAATTTGCAAGCTTCACTATTAGATGTCGAGGTGTTGAACGGTTTTTATTGATTTTGTACAAAATCCAGATTTTGTAACTCTGTGGGAGAGAGGGCTGTTTCTGATTCTTTCTTTTGAGGTGAGGTTTTCCTTCTAGTCATTTTGCTCAGTGCAGAGTGGCCAAAAACAAGTTGTATTGGAACACGGGGGAGTATCACTGGTCCGTCCAGCTGGTCTTCTGGGGGAGGGGCCTGCTGTGCTGATTTTCAGGTGTTAGCACTTGGGGGAGCTGCTCTGCCCCTGCCTGCTGCAGGGCTCAGCGGGGGT